AGTTCGACCAACGGTTCCGTGAATAACGCAGCTAAGCGTATCCGGAAAACTGCTGCTGCCGCACGGATGTCAGAAGCGAATCCTGGATAAGTACCGATCACGTTACAGGCACGCTGCATTTCACATTCGGTGAAGAGTAGGGGAAGATTAACACTAGCCGTACACATACACGTATATAATAATACATATTTTTGTCCTCGCTCCGCTTAATTCTTCCTTCACGCGACGCTATATGATCCGATTCGGCCAACGTGTTCTCCACTTCGATATTTGTGAGAGAAAACGCGGTTCCATGGAGTTTTAACCCAGTCAGACCCGAAACACCCCGCTCGTCATCTTCTCAGCACCATAAAGTTCTTCCTTGGCTCCGCCTAATTCTTCCTTGCATTCACGCTGATCAAATACGCTCGTCCCTCGGATCCGCGTTACGCGCAGACAATTCACACCGCATTAATCGCGTGCAGCCGGCACGCGACGTGTTTTCGACGAACTCGATCGTTCTTGCGGACAACAAAGCCACCCTTTGTCGCTACACGGGCTTTTGGAAAAGGAAGAAACAAGACTGGATCAAACGAGAACGGTCGTGTTGTTCGATTCCATAGGAAAACCACTTGGAAAACCGGCGAATTTGGGAATTTTTTTCTGAAAAACTCGAAGAGATAAACGAACGGGAGATTTTTTGTTTGAACGATAAATCCATTAGCTAGACAAAATCATGGTTACAGTATAGAGTGGTGTCTTTACGGACGCTGTTTACGTTAAAATGTAAGTCTAGAGGCGAAAAATTTAGCGGATTTTTAAAATCAAGATGAATTATAAAAAGTTTAAATCGGGGCTCTCTCCGAAATAAAAAGCACTCCTTTTTGCTCCGAGCAGAGCAGAGAGCAGCGGCCGGAGTAAATGACGTCGACAGTCGCAAATGGAATGGGGAACAGCGGTAATGGTGGGAGTGCAGGCTCGTAAGTAGCCATGTGTTGTTACGTTCGTGGGGCATTTCGTACCATCGGTTTCTTTTTTTAACACACGCCTATCTTCGAAGCATAGTTCTCATTCTTAGACTGGGCGATCACTACTATACGTTCAAACAGTGCTCCATCACAGGATCCATATAGCGTACTGGTGCCATTTCTCGAAAAGCTGGCCAAAATTCATAATTTCGTAGGATTATCAAAAAAATTAATATTCTTATGTTTTCGAAGATGCAAAGTTCAAAATGGAGGATCTAATATCACTGGTATAAACGTTTTTAAGTTAACTTTTATGAAAATTGATTATATTCCGATTTTTAACTATAACTAGAATGTCGAATTTAATATGAGCACGTTAATTTCAAAACGTTTTTGAAATTGATTATTTTGAAAATGTTATCATTTCCGATTTTAGTGAAAAACGCAGCATTTCTGCGTTTAGTAGATTACGTAGTTCAAATATATTGTCGAAAATAACAAAAGTAAACTGTGGATTATAAGTACAGTAGAGCGTCAGTTATCCGAACCATCGATTCGAGGGGTATGACTGTATTCCATGGTTAAAAAAAAATTAAAGATTATGTACTGTAAAAAATAAACTTTCTTAATAAATGTATATTGTTACTTCAAAGCATTTTTTTTTAATATTTTCATCAATAAGAAATTTTAGGCTTCATTCCTATTAGTTATAAACTGGGTAAGTACCTACATGCATATGTTTCATTAAGTGAACTGTTTGATTATCCGAACAATTCGATTTTCCGAACCACCCCAGTCCCAATTGGTTCAGACAACTGACGCTCTACTGTATTGTTTGAAATAAAGAATGCTGTTTTATTCCTATACTAATTACTGTCATTATTTGTATTCTCATTCCGCATCATAATCGGATGTGCTAAGCAGAATTTGAATTCAGTCAATCAATTCGAAATATTCGAATTTTAGGTAAACCAATGAAATTGAAAATATTGAAAAATTGAAACTCAACCAATGCCATTAAAGTAAGCACCATTTGAATTCGGCTAATCAAATTGGAAATATTCAATGTTTAAATTCAACTTGCTGATAAGTTTCGTTGCGGACGAAATAGAGCCTGAAACATGCCAAGTGCGTAAGTAGAATGGGTCCGTGTGTAGTCAGACAGATAGGGAATCATCTTACCGTAATCATGCCGGTACTCTACCAGGCAAATTAGCTGCAGTAGATTATTTATACCAAATCACTGTCCATATTCCGCCTACATGACAGTCTCCTGCAACCTGGACCGCTGTATTCCTTAATCTTTTCTTTCATTAAAATTACATAGAGCAAGTCGGGTTCCACTATTTTGGTGCCACAAAATTCATACATACACAAACTGTTTCTAAAATGTCTCATCTCACGACATTGGGGAAATTAAAATTTCAAGATGATTCCAAAAATTACTTCCATTCATTCTACAAGGTGTTTCCATATTCCAAATGACATCTTTCTACAGAAAGAAATTTCTTTTTTCCAATCGCACATAACTTCTTCCAAGAATGTTGAGAAAATTATTTCCCATCTACTAGATACTTCAAAAATTCTCTAATCTTGCTTATATGTATACTCATAGACTGCTGTCACAATTCCTCGTTTGACTTTAAGAAAAAAAATCTCAGACCATTTTACAACCTAAAATCCTAACTAGGTACAAATAATTCCTTTCATTCTTCCTACCGAGTGTCTAAAAAATTTTTAAACCCAAGAATAAAATATTCAAAATCATCTCTTTCGACAAATTAAAAACCTCTCTCTTCCTCCTCCCGCGCAGCCCCCACAAAAGAACCTATTTCCCATCTAAAGATGCTCGAAAAATCCCCAACCTTCCAGATTCCACTTTCCCTTCGAAAATATCGTCCCACAAAAAAGATTGCTCGACACCATGACACACCATAAACCCTCCAATCCCTACCAATCAATTCCATAGCAACCCTCTATGCGGGGGGAGGAGGGGGCCAAGCATGCATCGAAAGAAAGAAGCTACCAAGAGGGGAAACAATCAAAAATCCGCATAATTCTCGGCGGAAGAGACTCGCTGCCGGGAGCGGGTCGCCCGGAGCGTAGCGTATTTCCCCCCAATTTCGTTAGCGCCTGCACACACGCAACGCGGCCTGCCTTCGCGCAGCGACAGAGCGAGACGGAGCGGCTTTGCAGCGATCATCGACTGGTTGCATCGCGCAGGCGCGCTGGAACCGACTCATACACTCTCTGTCTCCCTCACTCGCATTTCTCCTCCGAGTAACGTCGCCCTTGTTCCCGCCATTGCTCCCTGGCCGCTCCTCCACCCTACCCCCATCAACCAACCCAGCCTTGCCCCCACCAGTGTGAGCTGACCGTGTCGCTAGCAGCGGCGAGGTGCACCACCACCACCACCACCACGAACAAGAGCATCAGTGGTAGCAGCAGCAGCCAAGCAGCGACACACCAGCGTGAAACGCGAGGTGCTGGTGTGCGGCCCGATGCCGCAGTATCTACTACCACCACACCGATCTCCTATAGATTTTCAATTAGTCCGCGCGTAACGTGGAAAATAATGTACCACCACAACACCTGCTGACCGTCCACCTCGCGAAACCTCGTACTTCTCGTCACGTTCGAGGTCCCTCAATTCCGTTTCAAGAGAAACACATTTCTGACTCTGTGATTTCGACGAGACAGCTAACTCAACCGATATAGATACTGGAACACAAATCGATCTCCTTCCCAACATCGTGTGCGTGAACAGTGCTAACCGTGGAGCACCAGAACGATGTCTGGTGGTCAGTGACGGGCTCCTCGATCGGTCCACGGCCGCCACACCGAGGATGCCACTTTCGATGAATCCTGGGACCCTGGTGTCCAGGTTTATGGCTCTCTCCGCGTTCCTAATGCACTCAGGTAGGCCTCTATTAATGTTTAACGGGTACTCGGTGTTTGAAGTTTTGGAGAGTTTTCTCATTTTTTGTTTCTTTTAATGACAAGCTAAATAAGATAACGATTATTGGTTAGGGGTATAGGATGTTTTAATATAGGGTGAACTGGGTGTAGAAAGTTGTTTGGATATTTGAACGAGTCTAAGGCACATAGGTGGCCACAGCCTCATCGATCGTCGTATCTGGCGTGTGCAATTCGTGTAATTTCAATATCCTTAAAATATCTGACTGATGTTGGTCCACGTGGAAATGGGGAGACAATAGTGTGACGTGAACAATCATCGATTTCTAACCTCAAATCAGATGACTTGTGGGATGTTGTTGAAAATTATTGCTTGATACGAGATGGACCTTAAAAATTGCAAAAATTAAGTGTCTCGTAAGATGTTAATTTTTGTGGGACTACATGAGATTTCAAGGTTATTTTCTTTTTTTAGGAATTGAATTGGACGTCCAGATTTTTTATATAAGTTATTTGAACAGTTGTGGGACTTTTAGGTTATGTTTGAATTAATTAAATTTTTCTCCCGGTTCTTTTGAGGTTATATTTAAAGTTGGGAATACTTTGGAGGGAAAGGGAGGATTTAAAGTTGGTTTACAACGGTGAACAGGTTGATTCAACGGGTGTCATTCGAAAGAGCGGGGCCAGAATTTCCTTCGGTGGCGATAGTGCAAGCTTCCGTGAGAGAATGGCGGTAATACGGTAACCAACAGACATTTAGATAGGATCCGCTTTGTCGAGGATAGAAATAGGATTACCGGGCCGCGGAAGTCCTCGAGGATAAGCGTAAAAGTGGTTAAATTCCGGCTGTGAATAAAAGTTACCACGGAAATCGGTATTAGAAGGAATCGACACTATTTTTAACCTAACTTAAATTTTAACTTAAATTCGAGTCAGGGTAAATAAAATTCTGATGAAATTTTGAAGAATTTTCTGTAGAGAATACTTAACACAAACTGAATCCAAAATCATGTTCGAGAAAAGTTAGGTTAATTTTGTCTTTCTATCGATTTAAAAAAGATTTTTTGTTTAAATTCGAGAAAAGTTAGATTACATTTGTGTTCCGACTGATTTAAAAAGAATTTGTATAAATTCGAGGGAAGTTAAGTTAGGTTCAAGTTATATTTGATGGAAAATATGGCAACTAAGATAGGTTCAAACTTAAAGTTAGATTTAAACTGAAATGAATTTGGTCCTGGTTAGGTTCCAATTTAGTCACAATGAATTTCATGGGAAATATTAAACCTAACCAGTAGAGCTAAACTTAGATTCAAATCTAAGGTTAGGTTAGGTTAGTTTAGAGTAGTAAGGTAAACGAGGTTTCAGGTAGGTCTTCGTTAAATTGACAAACATTGAACCTAATCTAAATTAAATTTGAATTGTTATAAAATTATAAAAGAATATTGACTTTAATCTGGACGTGATTCAAACTCAAATTTAACTATCAAGTGAGCCAGATTTGGCTTTAATTAAATTTAACTGAACTTAAAAAAGGAATCCCACAATACACATTGAGAGGAGCCATGAAAACCTAACAAAAATATCAAACCTAACCTACATCCAACTCAAGTGAAAATTCCAACTTTAATAGAGCTAAATTAAATTTCACTTAACCTAAAAGAAGAAGGAGTCTAACAGCAGACACGGAAAATAACCTCAAAAAATAAAAAGAAAACAATTCCTTCACATTGTAACCAAAATAAAAAAAAAAGAGGGGAAGATAAAAAAATAATCAGTTCGTAGTGTCTCGTGTAGGTCAACGCATTCAAGGCACGTTCGCACAGAACGATAAGCCGCCCAGCGACAAACGATCCCCGGCCGATAACTTTTTCCCAGCGTCACGCGACCACTTCGCCTAATCGCTTCAAGGACCATTCCCAATCAAGAAACAAGTACATATATAGATATTCGGACGCGTAAAGCGATTTGTGATGTCACGTTCAGTTTAAAAGACGCCAATGTATATAACCAGCCCCCGCGAGAAAGCATATTACGACAAGTCGTTAATTCGAGCACACTAATTGGCTAAATTTCCAATAAACCTCCTACACCGTCGCCGGTGTGCTTTCGGACTCAGTTTAAATAAAACAATAAAGTCTCGATCATCCCTTGCAACTCGACGCTCTCGTTCATTCATTCCTCCCTACCCTACTCTCACCACACCTCCCCACACCCCACCCCGTTGTTGTACTGCTTTCCGACTTTCAAATTCTGCCAGTGAGAGCAGAACGCAGGCTGAACTTTGTCTGTGAATGGTCTGATTGCGTTTTTCAAAATGGTGAATAATTTTCAGGCGAAAGGGATGGTAATTATGAACTTGGGAATTGGTATTATATTACCAAAAAAATTTATTTCGATTTTTTCTTCATTATATAAATGGTAAATCCTCTGAAACTTTTTTGATTACCTGATGTAAAAATTTGTTCATTGAATATGGAATTTTTTTTTTTCAAGGATAGTTGTAAAATTTTTTAATGGAATTAAGAATGAATGACGTTAGATGCAAAATGATTTTCTGCATCTTACTATGAGTGTAATAACTAGTATGATGATATAATTTTGATATTCGTATTAAGAAACCAGAATATAATTCAGAATAGAAAATTGAAAGGGCAGTGAACAAAAATTTTTTCTGTGCGCAGAATAATATGGCAACAAAATTTCCATGATATCTGGATTAAGTTAGATGGTGACGCCATCTATGATTTTACAAACAGTTTAGGGACAGGCAGATAATAGTGTTTGTTATATAACAGATGAGATGCAGGCACAGGCGACGTACAGGATGGACAGGAGTTAAGGAATTACATACAATCCAACCATCAAAGATGGTAAAATCGACAGATACAATAAATCCTCTCTTATTAAATTTGCATAAAAAGATACATACATATATTGAATTGCGTGAGTAGAACTGTTCACGATCTTTTGACAGCAGTAGAACACGTGCATGTGACGAATCATCTACTAATAAACAATTACGTTACTTTTTTATTTGTAATTTCGTAATTACGTTTAATTCCAGTTCCAACCACTACTAATGTTCTAATCTTATTCTATGCTGAATCGGTAACGTTGGTAGCGACACGAAAATGGTAAGGGTATTCTTGGTCCCAAAGCCCCGGACAAAAAGTTCCATAAGATGTTAGGTCTATCCTGTACGTCATCTGTGATTATATTTCATGTCCTATATAACTAACAGAGCAAACACACACAGTGTTCCACTTAAAACAAATTTTTAATGGCCTCGAAACGAGTGACAGAGCTTGTCTAAAAAAATTTTTAATCACGTCGGAACTCAAAGTAATCCATAAAAAAAACAATTCTCACGACCCCAATATTTAAAGTGCTCCATTAAAAGAATTACAAACTTCTATACTTCGTGTTTTAGCTTGTTTAAAAAAAATTCCGTGGCCCTCGTAAAACCTAACCTAACTATCGAACAATTTTTCTCATCAATTATTAACACATGACAAATTACAGAAATCACCATGCTCTCTATCAGTCATCATACTCGTATTTTGAAACACCATATACACACCCGCGCGCAAAGAGCAAAGAAAAAAACAGTCAGAGAGGAAGAGAGAGAGATTCATAGAGAGAAAAGCGAGAGGCGAGAGAGAACACACTGAAAGAGGCAAACAGAAAGGAGAAAGAGAAAAAATCACAGTCAGAAAAAGACAAAAGAGAGCGCTGGCAATTCGATAATTCGTGGTTGGAAAAAATACGGTCGGGCATGCGAGCTGAAAATTAACGCCATAAGCCATCGTGTACCGTTTAATTCGAAGCATAAGCGTGTAACGTTGGACCGATAATACACCCGGTAAATAATCTGAGTATATATCTGGCCGTTGATTAACCACCCCACTTGACAGTTTCGTCCAACCCTCGTCCGATTGCCTTTAATTAAATCGACCGTGTCCGTGTCCGTCACGAGCACGTGCGAGCAGCGTCGCGACACCATCCGTCCGCCACTGCCACGAAACGATGCGACTGGTCGGCGTAGTTCGTGAACATTTCGTTAACGTTTTACCGACTGAGTAATTTCAAAAGCCGAGGAACTTTTAAATACAGACGATGTATAGGACAGACGACGTACAGGATGGACCAACATCTTATGGGACTTTTTGTTCGGGACTTTGGGATCGAGAAGACCCTTACCATTTTCGTGTCACTACCAACGTTACCGATTCAGCATAGAATAAGATTATAACCACAGTCGAGGTACAAGATAGACCTAACATCTTATGGGACTGTTTGTCTGTAGTGTTAGGTCTATTCTTCACCTCGTCTGCGCCTGCACGTCGTCTGTACTCTTACCAGTGGGCGAACTAGTATCGGTAAAATAGGAATCTTCAAAAAAAAAGCTATAATCAAACAAACACAGGAAATACACACTTAAAAAAAAGAAGAAAATACCTTTCAGTATTAATGAAAAAATTAAGTGTGTATGCGTGAAACGATTGTGGAAGTTACTTAAGGTCACTTGAAAAATTACAGCCGCCCAGTTTGAGTAGCGTTTTGTGGGTCAACCGCGTTGCAAATAATAGGTTGATGAAGAAAAAGAAGGTGGCGGGAGGATAAGTGAAAGGCAATAAGGATAATAGATAATAAAAAGGAAGCTAGCAGCTTAACGCATGCTGCATTTGTCGATTTCGCATCTATGCAATAAACGTGGTGCATGAGGAAAAGGGAAGAGGAGTGGCGGAAAAGGGGAATAGCGCACGATCCTTTGAATATCTGACTGGAAATCGCTGTTTTTCCAACCGTCGACAAAACGGAAATTCACCAACAACGTCGTCGATGAGACGATACAATTTAATTGTCCTTCCAATCCCCCTCCTGTATCGTTTCCAATAACTTCTGTCTCCACTGGGATAGAGAGATGGAAATGGGAAAAGGGAGCACGCGCTCGATTAACTACCGTTACTCCGTGATGAGGAGGCATTTGTTCAGTTTCGTGATGTATTTTCCGTTAGATCGGGGATAATTTTAAGAAGCTTACCGCATAAGAGGATCACCTAATAGTTACAAACATTTTTCGACGTTTTCCGCATCTCGTGTCCCCTCCAAGATCCTTTTAAAGAACGTTTTTCGTAAGTGTTGACTATATGGGTTACCTGATTTTAGGGGCGTCAGGAGATTCAGAATACGCTCTATAGATGACAGTATTAAGTTGAATAGCTCTAGTTATGGTTAGACATGATACTAAAGATTTGAAAATTGAATTGAATTTTTGAAGGTGACTGAAAATCGAATTGATTCTATAAATTTTGGTGGGCAGACACTTTTACGAGTAGAAGGATACTGTTAACCTTAACCCATAGGGAGAACAACCTCTATAAATTTACCATAAACACCACTATACGTGATCGGGTGGAAAATTTTTTTCTGATTACAATCAAACGTCTCAGATAACCAAACTGAGGATATGTCAAGCTTACGACTTCGAATAAAAAGTTTCTGAAGATATATTTTACTATGTCTGGGGAAAAAATTGCGAAGTATAATCGATGAAAGTATTAAGTAGCAATCCTGATTTTATGCTATGAAACCCAGGATACCATGCAACATTTTTTAAAGTGCAAAGGCATCAAAGCTAAGGCATACCTCATGCGGCCCTGACGGAAGTTTCAGGTCTTTATTTCGTGAGGTTTCTGTCGATTTGCATGCTCAAACATATAAACTTTGACCGATCTTGCAACCTAGTTATATTTCTTCCACCGACTATACCATGGCTATACTTTCAGGTATCGTGGCCCTACGCATGACAGCGCTGCAAATACCTCAGCACGTACTACTGAACGAAACGGTGCGTATGCAGTGCAACTTCAACCTAGACAAAGAGGTATTGTATTCGGTGAAATGGTACAAGGATGGCCACGAATTTTATCGCTTCGTTCCCAGAGACGAACCCGATGTTCAGACGTTCCGTGTGCCCGGTGTGAACGTCAACGTGAGTGCACTCAAGAGGAACATTAATTATAGTCATTCTTGAGACAATGGGTATAAATTCTTTTTTTTTCTTTTTGTAGATTCGCAATTCCACGGAAAGGTCTGTGGTGTTGAACAACGTGAACCTGACCAGTACAGGGAGGTACCGATGCGAAGTGTCTGCTGAGGCCCCAGCCTTCCAAACCGTGTCTGATCATGCAGACATGACCGTAGTAGGTAAGTTTTCGTTAACCCTTTAAGTACAATGGAGCTATATCTATGTTCACAAAAAATTATGGACGCAACCAATAAACTAATATATCTTTAAACAATAAAAATAGTTAGCGTGGTCATTAACACGTTTATTTGAGGATATTCTAATTTCGATATAATTTAGTTGTAAATTGTACGTGCAAATTAATATCTTGACACGACGTCTTCCGTCCACAAAGGGTTAAATCATTTAATTCGATAAATTTGCAAAATGGCGTCCTAATTGAGATAAGGTTAACATAACCTAATTATTGCTACAATTTTGATAAACCTCGAAATCACTGATTGGATTGCTAATAATACAGAAGAAGAAAAAATTGCTATCGTTTCAGTTCTTCCCGATGAAGGGCCACGAATAACGGGTGGCCGTTCCCGATACCAAGTTGGAGAAGTCGTTTGCATGAACTGCACGTCCGCACCCTCAAAACCGGCCGCCTTGTTGACTTGGTTCATCAATGGCGACCCGGTAAGTAGCCAATAAAAATATTCCACTAAATGACACTCTGTCCGTAACGTAATGAAAACTGACCAATCAACAGCTGGTCATTCGAGATAACGATATCACAGACGAGATATATGATAGACCTTGAACATAATGTATTTTTGCGTCCAACGTTTCGAAATACCGATCGTGTAAAAAGTAGAGTTTTTGTTATGCCCTCTACGATGTAAAGCGGTAAGTTTAGGAATTACATACAATCCAACCATCAAAGATGGTAAAATCGACAGATACAATAAATCCTCTCTTATTAAATTTGCATAAAAAGATACATACATATATTGAATTACTTGGGTAGAACTGTTCACGATCTTTTGACAGCAGTAGAACACGTGCATGTGACGAATCATCTACTAATAAACAATTACGTTACTTTTTTATTTGTAATTTCGCAGTTACGTTTAATTCCAGTTCCAACCACTACTAATGTTCTAATCTTATTCTATGCTGAATCGGTAACATTGGTAGCGACACGAAAATGATAAGGGTCTTTTCGGCCCCAAAACCTCGAACAAAAAGTTCCATAAGATGTTAGGTCTATCCTGTACCTCGTCTGTGGTAGAACCAATATTTTGCAAATAAATTGATGTATAAATGATAAAATCTCGAAGCAAAAAATTAATCATAAATTTTTCATGCCAAATTATATTTATAATTATCAAACTATTACTCGAGTGCAAAGGATTAATACCGTATAACTTTAATGAAAAATTATGAGCAAAAATTTGTAAATTTAATGCACAAATTACATACGTCTCTGAGTATTGTCATTTAATGTTTTAATTTACGACCCCACTGCATCGGTTCCGCTGGCTATACCTTTTTACTCAACTCGTTAACGTATGCTTAATTAATCTTATGAATAAATGACTACGTTCAGAAGTATTTCCCAGCAAACAGGTTAATTTCAATGGATAAAGAATCCATCGAGAGAGCGACAAAGGACTGACAAAAGGCAGCATGTGAAAAGAGTGAGCTCTAATCGCGCGTTCCCAGGCGAAACCAAGTCGTCCACAATAAACAGAGACGCCACGTGATTGTTTCCCAGACTCTATGACTATCCGTTCTCCATTGTCACGAAAACAATTCAACGGCTTTCCAGGCCGATACCCAGTACCTGAAGGGACCGCACATTACCGACGTGGATGAGAAGGGCCTGGAAACCGCGGTGTTGGGCTTGGAGTTCCGTGTCGCCAACAAACACTTCAAACGAGGCGACATGAAGCTCAAATGCTTGGCAACAATAGCGACTGTCTATCTGCAGAGCAACAAGGTGAGCGTGGAGGGGGACGAGAGGATCCTGAAAGCGCCGGTAATGGAGAGTCGCGAGACCAGGGCGCAGAGCCACACTCGCAACGACTTAATCAATGGTAAAGTAAACTTTTACCATCATTACTTCGAACAAAAGAGAAAAAACTTCCCCAGAAAATCATCAGATGCCACCACTAACAACGTGGGTGTGGGAAATTAATTATCAAGATTATTAATTTTCGAAATTTTCTTGTATTTTCAGTTGACTCTTACAAGGTTCAATATATTCTGTCCTTTAATAATTAAAAACTATTTGCAAAAGTTGAATAAAGGAGCAAAAACGAATAAAATAACATGCCAACTAATAACTGCTCTACATTTCACAATTTCCCGCACAAAAATCAACAAACTAATGTTAGTAACTTAAGATTACGTCGTCACAATGAAGGCCCATTCTAAATTTCTAACGATTTGATATTTTCTGTAATCTATATTCTCTTATTCTTGAACTTCTAATTACATTTTTTGTAGAATTACAAATATGTACAATGAATGAACGAGGTTATAATCATAACGCCAAGGCTATTCTTTCCTTAGTGGTGGGAAATTTAAATCGCGTATATGAGCAGATTTTTGAAATTTTAAAATATCAATTGCAATCTATGTTACTAAAGAACATTTGCAAATTGCAACTTTTTCGCGGTTGAACCTACCAGATCACTGTTTATGATTTCACAGATCAGCGGTGAATATTTAAACAAAAATCATGTGAAATTCACCGAAGGTGGGAAAAGGCCGACGGATCGAGCGGGGGCACTTTCAAATGCAAATAAATCAGAAAATCGATTACCTTATGGATTAATTGACCAGCTATTAAACGCTTCATCGGTCTGATAAATAATTCATCGATCAAAAACGAGACAACGGTTCAGAGTCAAATAGCGGTTAATCTGGTCAAAAAGTATCCAATCGGAAAGATTAAAAGCGTTTATCAGGCAAAATAATACCGTGTAGCGACAAAAACGCTTGTTTATTGTTGTACAAAATTTTATTAGAAGAAAAAGTGTCACTGGAACGATACGTGATATCCTTGGTTCAATTCAAGCAATAGAGTCAGAAAAGGAAGTTTTCATATTGTTATTGCTTTCAACTACAAAGAATATTTTACATCAGGCCCAATTAGGCTAGTTACAAAGTGAAACATTTTACAAGAGAAGTTTCTATCGACGTGATACTGAATGCAATAACTTGAGTAATTGTAGAAGCAAGTGATGTCCATTCAAATAGAATATTCTTTTAAAGAAGGAAACTGCTATCGATACAATTTGTAAATGTGACTTCAGTGGCAATTGAAAAGCTTCTGATATTACAAAAGAAAAACTGCAAATTTTGTTTGAAGAATAAAATTAAGAAATGTTCACTTTTATATTTTGAATAAAACTAATAAAGAACATGTTAGCAGCATGAATGTGATTTAATTGTAATAATTTCCTATTTCAGGAAGTCAGACTAGAACAATATTCAACCGGATGATCATCATTCTGATCACAGCGGTGATTCTAGCGCGATAATAACAACAGTTTTTTTCACGTTGCTTCCTAAGAGTGTAAAACGAGTACGTTAGGAAATCGTTCCCATCGTATCTAATACTAATTTTTAAGCCGCGTAATCGTAATTAAATATCATATCGATAAACATGATAAAGGTGGCGTTCAAATGATCGTCGTCCACGTACAAGCAGTGGTAGGTCCATCAAACTTTTAAATTTTCTTTTTTCCCCTTAATTGACACAAATTTATTGTCATTGAAAAAATTTTTCCACCACAAATTCAATCTTTAAAGATGCTACGAATACACAAATTTATTCTATTTGATTTACCTATAATTTCCTTGAAAAAGCTAATAAATGTTTTATAAAATATCACTGATTCCACCTGTGGACCTGCTACTGATAAATAAACGAAAATCTGTTCTAGGCTCTAAATGTATTCTCGCGTGGAGAAAAGGTCTCATTTAAAACATATCCATGGAACTAACAGAAAGAGAGAGAAAATGAAAATTACAAAAGAAAAAAAGAAACAAACAAAAACCAAAAGAAGCATAAATCCGTCTCTCCATATGCATATAAATATATACATATAAATATATGTTAGATCGTCCAAAGATCTTTATAGCGAATGACGAGAGTTCTCGTTGCTTTCCATACATTGATATACATACATATTATTTTTACCACGATTTTATAAGGGTCTTTATATTTTTACTGCATATCATTTTTTTACTCTTTAAAGAACGGGCTCCTTGTGGAAAGCTTTTTATCCATCACGGGAACTTGTTATTGTTTTGTATGAATAGTACGGAAAGCAATCAGGAACAATTTCTCATAGCTAGCTTCACGAACCGATGCTGGGTAACGGTTGTTTTCACTGAATTTCATATGAACCTATTCCAACTACCATAAATTGTGTTCTTATCAGGAATAATTCTTCATAATGTACTTTAAGTCAGTGCTGTCCAGCGTTGAGACTCCTTACACGCCTGCTCTCTCTTCGAACTGTTCTTTTGCGTAGCGTATTTTCGTCGTCAAGGAAACTACGCGTTGCTAAGGAGGCGACCATGACAGGCTAGCGTTTCTGTAGTCAAAAAAGCTTAGCAGACGCCACGCGCGACGTATGTATTTATTACCGTTTCGCCTATAAGTACTTACCATAGTAACAGAGGACGATGGTTGGGACGGTGTCTGTCTCTCAGGAGACAACTTTGGACAGTGCTACTTTAAATAATAGAAACGTAACTTACAGAAATACCAAAACACCCAAAATTCTTTTTAATACATTTGAATGTTACTTGAAATTAAAGTTGTTTAAAGTTCTATCCAGCATTGACCTAAACGGTGCATCTCATAATCTCAACTGCGACGATACTTCGGGAATCTATATTTTTATCTAGACTTTACATTCAACGATCGTGCAACCCTGTCATGTGTCTAATTTTTCCGCGCATACTATACGCCAGTTCAAATACAAGGAATTGAAGACCGCGATGAAAAAATACACGCAGCACTGCACGAAAGCGATACAGAGAAATGTTTTAAAGCGGGAATTTATAATTAATAGTGTGTTGTGTGGATGTTTTAACGAAAAATGTCTTCGCTTTCACGTGTTCCGTGCATATTTGTGTGAAAATTTTCATTCTCCTAACACGAGAATCAATGAATCGCCCCTGTGGAATACGAATAGCACATTCATTTCGTTCTAAACGTGCATCTTGCTTGTGAAATTGCCAGGCAACAAAAATTTCAAGAAATATAAGATCCTATAACTTCCTTTTTAAACAATGTAAACGTTGTTCCAATAGTACTTGAAGGTTATGAAACTTATACGTTATAGTTGTCTTCCTATTAGACGCGATTTCACAAGAAAGGTTATTAATAGAAGATTGTTAACGATATTTATTGTTGTTTATTGCTGGAATTCTATTAATTAATCGTTTGTGTGCTGTTATTCCTAGATCGATAATTCTGCCATTTGGCGCACAAAATTCGAAAGTTGCTACGAATATATGTACATATATGTTCTATACGAATAGTTTCCTTCTTTTTTTGTTAGTAAATTTCGACGAGAATGTTTTCGAATCGAACACAAAAGAGAGGAAAACGAAAACAGTATCACATACGCAACATCGTAACATTTGGTACTTAAGCTAAAAACAAATATGTGTTTCTTACGTACTAGCGTAAATATCAAAGATACTTGTCGTATCATCTAAGCGTTTAACGAACTTGTAAATATGTACATAATTTTCATCGTTATTAAAATTCACTATTATAATACCATTCGTCTCTTTGTCTTCCTTTCTAAATACACGACACCTTAAAAGTTTGCATAAAAAAAGAGTTAATTCATCCAAAGTCGTAGAATTTTTTGTGTAGAAATACTGTGAAGGAGCCTTAACACATGGCGTCCAATGTATTCAACACCTCACTTTGATTACCAAGTATCAACACTGATTAATGCATTTAAAATTCATGTCATAATTGTTGGACGATACTGCTCTTTTTTTTTTTTTTTTTTTTAACCAGAGCGATACCGTAGAATGTCTTTACTACGCGTTTTCAAACTTAAACTGTCGACGTCATCATAACACGTGATCTCCCCTTCCCCTTCATTATTAAGCATCTTATACCGAAAAGAAAGCTAAAGTAAAATATATATTATCGTACCATTGTTGCATATATATTATGAAATTTAACAATTCCTAATTAATAACGAATATTTTAAAATTTAGGAAAATAAAAATATAAATTATATTTTTATGATAATCATTCGTTTGTACGATCAGGGTGACATCTAACAACGAAAGTCAAGTATTACTCGTTATTTAAATATCTGTTAAACGTCTGAACGGCTGTGAATAATTAAGTATTTATACAGTGGATTAGAAAGAAAACTGTAGAATTTTTTAAGTAAAAATAGTACGTAGCAAGAAATACGCACTTAATTTTCGTAATTTATTCATTACGTGCACGCATTTCGAAATTCCGTATGTATAACCTCAATGCGCCAGAGATAACTTTACGAACCCTTTAATATTTTAAATATACAAACACTAACAAAACATTACACACTCAATAAAACAATAACTATAAAACTTTTAATAATTTTGTCTACTAATACCTTACTATCATTATAGATATGTAGATTTTATTAAACTGTGATGTACCATACAGAAATTTAATAATGAATAAGTGTTTAACAATTCTTTTTTTCATTTAGATGGAACCTATGACATTGGGATCACCTGTTGGAAGTCCTGTGCTAAGTCCTGGAGCTCCAAGAACCTCTGCATACCTTCCAAACTACCTTTTAGGTGATGCTACAGCGGTATGTAAAATCTACTATTAAATTTGATTGTATTATAATGCAATACATTAAATAATTATCTTTCCAATATTCTAGCCAGCTAAAGTGAATCTAACTAATCTTCAAGATACTCCAAAGCAATTACACGTTGGAAACTTTGGTGTCACTTCTCCACTTTTTTCATATAGTACCCCAGACTATCGTACTAGTCGACAGAAAGCAGTATTTGGTGGTGCCAGTACTCCCAATACACCACAAATAGTTACAGAAAGTCACACTGGTGGACCTCCAACCAAAGGATTATTTGATAGTTTAGAAACTTCTCAGGCTGTATCACCTTATGTATCAGCTGCTAATCAAAGCACGTCATGCAATCAATCTAGGTTCTTAATGAACACAATGAACAGTTCTATATTTACGGAAAACCCATTGAATCCTAATGCGAATGAATCCCAGGGTCTTCTGCAATGGGTGACCGTTTTTGGCTTCCCCCCTAGCGATACAAATACCGTTTTAGCTCACATCTCAAGTAGAGTTCGCATAGTAGACAAACATCCTGCACCACACTCTCAGAGTAATTGGATACATTTGAAATGTGCTTCAGAACAAGAGGCTCAAAGAGCTCTTGCGTGTAATGGAAACATAGTGTCCGGATCCATTATGATCGGAGTTGTTCCTTGTACCGATGAAGGTGTTATATTAGGATCCGACAAAGAAAATCGTGCGAGAATAAACGGAAGCGTAAAGTGCTTCTCCAATCTAGGACGAATAAATCAATCGTCTGAGTATAATACACCGCGTACTCCGATTAAAATACAAAAAGCAAGACCTTTGGCAGCTGGTTACAATCAAAATCTCAGCCCTCAGTCAGTGAGATCGCCCGAGAATGTACCACAAAAATCAACAGGTCTAGTCTCTAAAGCGATGGAATACATGTTCGGATGGTAGCCTTTGATAAAGTAAATTATACATGTTTCCTTAATGACAAATATCATTTAATATGTGATCTCGTTTACGTTTTTATAAAAATCGAATACAATATAAACATGAATAATCCGAGAGAGGAATATTTGAAGATTCTAAAATCTTTTCTTATACACTTCTTCCTACATCGATAGTATGAAATATAAATCTTTATAAACATCAAATAATTATCACGCGACATTATGTTTAAACTATATTACTTCTTATTAGTACTCCTCTCTACGTTAAACTAACCACTACACCATCGACGTTGTTAAATGTTTCCTACTGTAATGTAATGTAGCTTATGATTAAGTGGCGTTAAAATTACCTCAACGACCTCGTGTCGCGTATATATTGCACAGATATTAAGGTGGTCCGTTTCTTGTGTACGCGTGTTATTTTAAAAATATCAGTAAATTTTTTACAAGCTGGTAACGAACTTGTACAATGACTCTGTCTGCAATGTTAAAAATCACGAAGCTGTTATTAATCAGTGCATTCTTCTCTCTCTCTCTCCCCCCTCCCCCTCCATCACCCTCTCACTCTAGCTCTCTTTCTCTTAATTTGCATTTAAATACATAATCGAAATTTTACACGCATTTCTTATAGAAAATAATTATTAACTATTTTAAATGGATGTCAAATCTATTCCATTTTTCTATGTCCTGTTCGTGTGTTAATCACTAATATAATACAGACGCAAGATCTTTTCTTTTCTTGCTAATAAATAAATTCACATTGTGCTGTACTTTGCCTCATCAAGATTACTTTGGACTTTCAATCGTGGCATTACCTAAGTCAGTCATTTTGGGATATTTCACTTTCTTCTTATCTAACTCATCCTGTGCCCAAAGTATCATCTTGAGCAAGTTATTTAAACGTGGGCTAGTTGATTCTTTGTACTCCATCTTCAATATGGCAGCATTCAAATCACTTGCTATCTATAGTTTCATGAAAAAACATTTGTGACTCATATAATTAGTTGTAAATCCAAAAGACCAAGTGTATTAAATCCATGAACAAAGTTATTTTTGTAATCTATTAAAAATAAAAATAAAAATTTAAACCTTATAAACAATATTAAATGCCTAGTACCTTTTGTCTGTGAGTTGGATGAAGCAGATCACTGTAAGGACTTTTGTGAGGCTCATCAAAAGCCAGCAGAGCTAAAGTACGCTCCAATTCACACAATATGTTGTTGTTTGACTCTCCAGCTTCACTCAACCTATCTTGAGCAAACTGTAAAGCTTCTTCCACTTTTCCTGTACGAATTAACTCGATCAAATGCAGCTGCTGCAGACGAAAATACAGATGTCTGTCGTTATCCAACAATTCTGGATGCAGCTGGTTCACGAGTTCCGTCGCCTTCTGAATATTTCCATTTTGAATAGCTTCTCTGATGCGAATCCTATTATCCAGAGAACTTAAATCCACTGTAGGCTCCACTCCAGATTCCTGTTGAAACTTCTCCGCAGCTTCCTTGAATCCTTCTGAATGAAAGAATCGATCGATAGTTCATATCGTATGTATACTTCGTTCGAAAACAATAAACTAACCTGTGACCAAATAATTCATAATTAAATCGTTCATTGAGGCGCGTTGCGTGTAGTTCTTCTCCAGCTTGGCCATCCATTCTTCCTTCGTTATATTATCCTGTTTCTCTGGGAAGCTCATCGTTCTTCTGCAATCTGCATCCATGTTTACGACAAGTGAATGTTAGTCGAGAGTACAGCGTACGAATTCGATCGAAGGTCTTTGCCAATATAAAGGTTCTGGGAACTGTTTGACACAACAGCTGATCTCTGATCGTTAGTCCAAACGTAAATAAACCTACGATGACAAACAGAGCGGCCTGAAAACGATCCGACTCGAACCACTCGATGAAAATATTTTCCAATACGTAAAACGGGTGACGATAATATCAGAAATATTTTTCACGAATTTATTAACGGGGGAAACCACGAATGAGACTCAATATTAAAATTCGTACAAGGTTTTCTGAATGAAGCTTCGAAATAATATCTGGAAAATTGACGTGTAAGAACGATGTGCAGTGTGTGTATGGTAATTTATTTTTTGGTTTACTGAATCTCCCGAAGGTGGGGTAATAGTTTGTAATCATGGCGGACCCGTTGAGCTTGCTACGGCAATACAATGTTAACAAAAAGGAGATAATCGAGCGTGAAAATCAAATTATATTTGGGGAGTTTTCCTGGCCGAAAAATGTGAAAACGAATTATTTAACTTACGGGTGAGTACTCATCAAACAGAATGAAAATTAGTCCCGGCAGCTGTAACCTGGAACGGATTCCACCATTAGACAATTTTCTGCGTGATCTCCCTACCACCAATGAAACGATAAACAGTTCGTGAAAAAATTGCCAGCATTTCCAGGAGCTCATGGGTCATTTGTAGGAACCTTGAACTTTGCGTATCAGAAAGAATGACAATTTCTAACCTCACTTATTGTATAAATGTCTCCTATGTTGCGGTTACGCCAATAAAAATAAAACACCCTTATCGTGACACTCTTTTTTTTTCTTTTTCTTTTTGTTTCTATGAACGTTCCTTGACGAACTCCTTGCCTTATAATTTTTGTTTAGTGGTTGAGGTTAAAAGGAGTGTTTACTGATTCTAGGTCTGGTAAAGAAGGAACACCAAAAGAATACTATACTCTCGAGTGTCTCCTATTTTTACTCAAACATGTGCAGCTCACACATCCTGTGTACGTACGACAGGCTGCAGCAGAAAATATTCCAGTTGTACGTCGACCAGACAGAAAAGACTTATTGGCCTATCTCAATGGAGAAACAGCTACATCAGCCGCCATAGACAAATCTGCTCCCCTAGAGATCCCCACTCAGGTAAAAAGGACAGCTGAAGATGGATTGGATAGCGGATCCTCCAAGAAACCTCGTTTTGAGGAGACTCATGTTCAAAAAGTCAAGGAGCAGCTTGCAGCCAGATTGGATGCTCCCAAGGAAGCTTCTGTTACAGTGGATAACATCAAATCCCTGTCTGAAGCCATGTCTGTTGAAAAGATTGCAGCTATCAAGGCCAAACGTTTGGCTAAAAAGCGTACCACCATTAAAGAGAATGATGACATTGGAATGGGGTCTGATTTACGTGTTATATTGATGGATGTGGATGATACCAAGGACATAGTTTCCAGGGAAAGGCAGTGGAGAACACGTGCAACTATTTTGCAGAGCAGTGGCAAGATTTTTGCCAAGAATATATTTGCAATACTTCAAAGTATTAAAGCTCGTGAAGAGGGCAGACAGAAAGGTCCTGCTGCACCCACACCAATGGTCACCCCACGCTCCACACCCATGCGGCCATTGCCACAGCCAGCTGTGTACAATCGGTATGATCAGGAAAGATTTATTAGGCAAAAGGAGGAAACAGAAGGATTTAAAATTGACACAATGGGTACTTATCATGGCATGACTCTGAAGTCTGTGACAGAAGGCACGAATCCAGCAGTTAGAAAACCAGCAAGCAATCCTTCCACTACTCCAAACTCTGGTCTCCTACCCACTTCTGCAGCCAAGCTCACTCCACAGCAAGCAGCGCAGAACAAACGACCCAGTAGAACTCCTATCATTATCATTCCAAGTGCAAATACATCACTGATCACAATGTACAACGCAAAAGACATACTTCAAGATCTGAAGTACCTTAGTAACGAAGAGAAACGTGCACAAGGCAGTAAACGAGAAAACGAGGTCCTTCTACAACGTCGAAAAGAGGGTGGTCTCACAGTTCCATACAGGGTAGTGGATAATCCACAAAAGCTTACAAATGCAGACTGGGAAAG